GAATATGGAAATAAATATTGCCTTGGTGCTTTTGAATGGGAATAAGTAGGCACTGCATAATAGATTTAACATATAATGAAAATGGGTTGCAATCTATAATAAGACATGCTGAAGATTCAATAAAAGCTCAGATATTGATTCATTCTTCAAACTGGTCATTAGTAACTAACTGGAGACCTTCACTGACCAATATGCTTAACTGATTTTTAAAAATAAACAGCAAAATAGCTGATGAAATTTCATAAAGCAACTGTTCCCTGACCATAAAACAAGGCAATTAAATTGTGCAAAGGTTAATTTTTGAGCACATAATCAACAACTGTAATAGAAACAAATCAAAGACAAGAATTGAAAGATCTTAAATGTGAATTTTATTAGTATCTTTAGTTTTATGGTTAGAAAACTCTATGAAGCAATGATGGATTGTTGAGGGATAAGTTACTTATTTTATTAAAGATTTAAATAAGCTTTGCCAAGGACCGGATTTTGGTTCTACTTTAGGCCCTGACAAGAAGTCTTGTAAGCTTTTTACAGAGTTCTCTTGAAATCATAGTTATCAGTCTTACTAATTCATAACTTTGTGCATATCGTTTATCTTCAGAGCTGCACTTCCTTCATTTATAAAGTGGAATTAATAAAACTTATACAATGGGTTATATGGGAATTAAATAATATGAAGAATATAGAATAGCTTCAGAATCAATGTTTCTTCTACTCTGTAATCCCTTTGTAGCTGTATGATTTTGCTCTCTTTAATTATTTAATTATGTGGGATAATTGGCATATAATCCAATTCTATATTTTCTGAACATACAACATGAAGAAAATACTTTTTCCCTGGTCTGTTCTCTTCCTCCCATGATTGCTCAGGCCTAGGAAAGTACAGGCCTTGCATGCTCCCATCAGGTCTTTCAAGGCTCACCAAAGCAGGGCACGGGGAGTCTTATCCATACCTGCAAAACAGGACTGAGGCCATGGTTACGGTCAAAACTAGTCAGTGCTGAGGGAGGAGGCAAAAATTCAAAAGAAAAACTGACAATGCCCTGGTGAAGTTTTAGAAATGTTAGCACCTGCCTGTGATGACTTTTGTGTAAGTACGCTGGCTGTCTTTGAAGGGGGCAGATGGAGCTAGACTACTTAAATTCATCATATAAGCCAGCAAGAGAAGTATAATTTTACAGATTCCCAGCATGTCTCTTCGTTCTTACTACCTATTTTTCTATACTGTAAATTAAATTTTAAAGAACTGGAGAAAAATCCACTAAAACAAATTACTAACAGTGACAAATAAGCAGTGGTTTATGTTAATATGTAAGTGCACCATTGTATTAGTTCATTCTCATGCTGCTAATAAAGACACACCTGAGACTGGAGAATTTATAGAGAAAAATAGATTTAATAGACTCACATTTCCACATGGCTGGGGAGGCCTCACAGTCATGGTGGAAGGCAAAGAAGTAGCAAAGGCAGGTCTTCTTACATGGTGGCAGGCAAGAGAGCATGTGCAGGGGCACGGCCCTTTATAAAATTGCCAGATTATCATGAGACTTATTTACTAGCACGAGAACAGCATGAGAAAACCCTGCCCTCATGATTCAAATATCTCCCATCGTGTCCCTCCCACAACACATTGGGATTATGGAAGCTATAATTCAAAATGAGATTTGGGTAGGGACACAGCCAAACCATATCAACCATTATGTATATTCAGTGTGTACTTTATCTGTATCTGTATATATATCCGCATCTATATCCAGAAAATTACATAATCTTGTATGTTGAACAATTACAGATTCAAGTACTCTAACTCACTCATCATTCACATAAGTTTTCAGCATAGAGACCATACTCATATGCCATTCCCTCTGCCTGATATGTTTGGTTTTACTTTCTTCATTTTCCCTAACAGATAAACTTCTATTTCTCCTTGAAAATTGAGCTCAAGATTACTTCCCGATAAGCCCATCTTAGTAATAGTTTTATTCTCAGATCCTTTACTGTCTGGCATGATACGTGCTCGAAACATATTTGATGAAAGAATAGTTGTACAGTTAAATGCAAAATGGTGATGAATGACAAAAGAGACAGATATACAGACAAACTTTATTTATTTAATCATATATCATTTATTTACCTAGAAAATAAAATGTCTAAGATAGAAAACGGAATGAAGACCATCTAATTATTTTTAAATTAGATGGTCTGATAAACTTCACAAAATTGTTAACCTGATAAACTTCACAAAATTGTTAGGCAGTTTTCACTAAGCCTTATATCATGGAAAAGATAAAAAGAAAAAAGGTAAAAACTTTTATGTGGTACTCTACTTTTTATAAAACATTACATTTTCTAATGAAATAAATAATACTTTATGAATGTTTAATATTTCTGTAACCAAGGATTACATTAGCTTTCCTTACATCACATTGACAGAATGTTTCATTTTGTTGGGGCCAGAGAGCACAGAGATGAGGGGGGAGTAAATTTATCAGGAATAATAAATGAGATAGTGATTAAGTGAAAAAGTAGGTACCATTGGCAAATCAGGAAAAATTGGGAACCTCAACTTTCAGCTGGAGAAAAACACAAGGCAGGAGGCCAAATGAGAGCTGGGGGACACTATTTTGGAGGAGCAGAATCAAGGGATTTGAAAGATGTATGTATGGGGAGGGAGAAAAGAAAGAACAGATAGTTTGGGTGCAGCTCTTTGGGAGATCTTAAGCATGACTGAGACAAGAACTGAGCTGTCACTTGATCTTTTAAATTCATTTTCCTGTGGAATTTTTTACAGTGATTACCATAAAGATTTAAACTATTTATAATTGCCATTTTTACTGTACTATTATCTTTAAAGAAATCGTAATAATCAATACATACAAGTCTAATGATCAAATATTATAAAAATTTTCCTAATTTACTTTCTTTTTTAATTTTTTATTTCTTTCAATTCCAAGGCCAACCAGGTCCGCAAGGTAGCACTAGATATATGTTGGTTTCATACAACACTGTAGATGCCGTTCAGTGGAGTGATTAAGAGGATAGACTCTGGAGCCAGATTGCTTTGGTTCAAATCATAGCTCTGCTACTTGCTAGCTGTAATCATGGGCGAGTTACTTAACACCTCTGTGCCTTCTTAATAAAATAGACATAATAGTGGTATGAAGCTCATGTGGATATTTCGTGTAGCAAATCAGTTCATGCAGAAAAATAATGTAGGAACAGTGTCTGACAATAGTGCCTGGCACATTGCAAACATTCAATGATGCTGGCTATTATGATTATAATTATTATTATTATATGCAGATGATACAGACAAACATTTATGAGTCCAATATTTATAATGTAATTATTCATTTATTTTACAAATACATTGAGTGCCTACTCTGTCCCTACTATGTGCCAAGCTTTGA